TCACTCCAAAAAAAAAATGTACATAAAAAATATAGAAACCTACCTATTTAACTAATACATTCTTATGTTTCACAAATTTAGGCCGGGGTTGCCCAACTCCTTAATTCTTAATTTTGGTTCTTAATTCTTAATCCTTAAAAACACCAATGTTAAATAAATTGAACTTTTTAAGAATCTGTATCTATTTTAATGTTAATTTTTACGTTTTTATTGTAATTTTTCGGTTTTTTAAACAACACATCTCTTCTTATTAGGATTTTCTGTTTCTTTTCATCCCATAAACGGTATCCTGTTGGTACATAACCCACAAATAAATATTTTTATGTCCGATTGATCAATAAAGTGCTATTTATAGAACAGTTTTGCGTCAATAAAGTAGCACTTTATTGTACTAGTAAAATAAAGTGCTACTTTATTTTACTAGTAAAATAAAGTGCTACTTTATTGCCTACCTGGACTACCTGACAAGGTGAAACAGGTCTTGACAACCTGCCAAGGTGAAACAGGTCCTGACAACCTGCCAAGGTGAAACAGGTATACCTACGCGAATTTTACTTTTTTCATTAAATTTTTTAAATTTTTAACAAAAAACAGTCGTAATCGTACATAAAATCATGTGTATATAACGCTTACATAAACAGGCTTTATTGACTCATTATTTAATAGCCTCGCTCGCAAGCTCGCTCGGCCATAAAATTATTCGTACAATAAAGCCTTACTTTATGTACTTGTTATATAAATAGCTATTCACATCGGCTATCTAGTTTCTTTAGGTATCCTAGATTTTTTGAGTATGCTTCAACTCCAAAAATTTGCATTCTTTCCAAATCCGGCTTGTGGCCTGTCCATATTTCAATAGGAGTTTTATCTAGCTGTAGGGATCCTGTAGGACTTCTATTTAGTATATAAGCAGCAACTCGGGCCGCCTGTCTCCAAAATATTTTTTCCATGTTTGAATCAAATAATAAAGATCTTACTCTCTCTATTTTGGTGTAATATAGTATTCTATTGAGTCTTTCAGCCTTTCCGTTAAGTTGGGGTGTAAATGGTATTGTCAAGTCCATAACTATTCCTTTCCCTTTACAATATCTCTGTAGATCTTCATTTACATATTCTTTGCCATTGTCATTTCTTATTTTTGCCACTTATATATTTTTCTCTCTCTCCATTTGTTCAATGTATTCTTTCACATGCTCTGTTGTCTCACTTTTATATTCTAACAAATAAATCCCCACATAATGAGTATAGTCATCCATTATTGTTAACATATACTTTTTATTGTCCTATGTTTGTGGATCGATTGGTCCACATAAATCTGTATGTATGAGCTCTAAAGGTCTTTCTGCTCTTTTTCTTTCACTATTGAAAGAAAATCTTGTTTGTTTTCCTTTTAAACATATTTCACATGGTATTTCAAATGAATCACAGTCCTTTTTAACTATATCCATTCCTGTAACCATTTCATTGTCAATCAATTTTTTTATGCTTTTTATGTTAATGTTGCCTAACTTACGATGCCAATTAATCACTTTTTGTTCTTTCGTTTCACTTAAATAACTTTCTTCAAGTGTTTGCTCATTCTTTTCCAAATATGTTGTGTATAGTCCTTTTTCGTTTTTTTTGGCCTTCTGAAATCTTTTTGTCATTTTTTATTACATAAACTTTGTCATCATCGAATATTACTTAACCATCATTTTTAGTAATGGCACTTACTGATAACAAATTTCTGGAACATATAAAACCCCATTTAATATGCAGTTTTTTGCTTCAATTCTCCCAAAACCTTCAGCTGTAATCTGAGTACCTTTTTTAGCAACACATATTATATCAGTCTGCTTTTCTATTAAATTGTCAAATAATTCAGGATCGTTCACCATAATATGCGAGGTACTTCCGGAATCTATTACAAACATAATATTTCTACTATTTGTATATTCCTTATAATTTTTATTTTCTGTCAAAAATGACACTTTTTTATCAGGATTTTTATTTTCATTGCTGTTTTTATTTTTAAAGGAACAGTTGATTTCAGTGTGGTTTGTCTTTTTGCATATTGAACATCGTCTTTCCTCTGGTTTTGACTGATGATTGTCCCTCCGGTTCTCATTTCTCCAGTTTTTGTCACGTTCTTGATAGTTTTTATTCTTATTTCTGCAATCTTTCTCAAATATTTCTTTTAGCTTTGTATACATGTCAGTGGATGTTTTACAGTTCATTAAATGTACTAATACTTTTCGGTCAACTGTGGAAATAATGATTTTCTGTGCTTTTGCATCTCGTTGTATCCAACCTTTTTTATCCTTTTCTTCTGTTAACACTTCATAGGTTTCATCGCCTGACACTACTGCATAAAGCCCACTTGCTCTAAAGAAAATTGAGGTCTGAAAGTTCCACATTTCAACAGTCTCTGAATTCACCAATTTTTCGATGGTTGCAATCTCAGTTTCCCTTGCACTAGCCATATTTTGATTTTTTTTTTCTTTTTTTAATTATCAGTTAGGTTTTTACCTGGAATTTTATTTTTTTATTTTATTGTTTTCACTCACTATTTCGTTTTTATTTTTTTAGCTTCCTGGGCCCATAACCTGTTGTTTATTATTACTTTATTTTATTTTATATTTCAATAACTGCAGTGGTCTAGATTTTCAAAGAACTTCTTTTATTACGACAACTTATTACAAAAACCTTCTGCTTGACATACTCAATTTTTTATATTGACATTGACTACTATTCATTGACTTTTACCTAACACACATCCTTCAACTGCCAATACAATGATCTCAAATCAACTTATATTTTATACTTAATTATTATTTAAACTAAACTATAAGGTTTTCCCAACAGAACAGATGCTTACAACAAATTACCTCCTCTTGTTTAAAACTCTAGTTCCCAAAATGTATTTAAAAAACAGCTCAGTGATTATATTGTGGCCCTTTGATGAATAATTCATATCGAAGCATATTATAGCAACTAAATGTGATTTGGAGAAGGCTGTTGTTAGATTTTAGGTTAGATACTGATTTCCTAATTTTAAGTTATTTTTGTTAAATTTATTTTTTCGATAGTGTTTATATTAGGGTTTTCTATTGAAAATTGAACACATTGATTGATTAAATGTGTCCACCAAACGAGAAACTCTCAGAGAACAGTATTCCTAGATCAGACATCTCTTAAACCCTGTCCAACGCCGTATCAATAATCTTGTATTGTCTTAGAATAGGAGTCTTATTTCAAGAAATTCTTAAACATTTATATGCACTAATATTTAATTTTAAGTTATTGTTGACACAGTATGATACAATAGTATCCAGATCTCTTTGTAAGAGTTGACAGTCTGTTTCATTTTGAACTGAACTATATACATTTTTAAATCATCTGCATAGAGTTAAAATTGTGAGTATTCAACACATCTAGATATATCATTGATAAATAAGACAAATAGAAGTGGACCCAAGATAGAGCCCTGCGGGACACCAGAGGTAGCATCTAATCTATTTGATATGGCATTGTTAAACTTCACACACTGACATCTGCCGACAAGTAAAGTATAAAATAAGGCTTGAATCAAATCCAAAGGATTCAACTTTTCTGACAAGCACAGCATGGTTAACCCTTTCAAAGGCTTTCGCTAGATCAGTATGCACAACATCCATCTGAGATCCAATCTCCAGGTGACTGCTTATATATTCAGAAAAAATACTCACATTAGTGACAGTTGACTAATATATGTTAGCGGTATTATTTTGGAAAAGCATCAACACATTGGGAGTTATTGAAGCCAAGCTATATCAGTTCCAAGCAGAGCCAACATGAACATGTCGGACCTAGAAGTGTTTGTGGGAGCGTCACTTCGTTAGACAGATGAAGACTGTAGTCCATACAAAAACACTGGAACAAATTCGTTTTGATGTTTCGTCGAAAAACCGACACAAGGCGGATAGCTCACAAACATTGGCGCCAATGTGCGGTCCCGACCATATGTATTATCGGATATAAGGTCTCAAGTAGAAACTGTTCAGGATGTGAACAATCCGATACAACATGTTACAACAGTCCATAAGTACCAGAGATACAAGGCGAGTTCGTTAAATCCTCCGCGAGCTAAAAAATTACACTGTTGGCAAAAGCCTATGCGATCTTCGATATGAAGTTCCAAAACTAATTCGTGAGCCTGTCATCTTTTTGCAAGCTAAGGATCAACGGAACCCCACTACAAGTACTAAAAATACAGCTGATGTCTGTCATGAAGGTGTGTTTACAAACACGACAGGGACATAATTTCCTTGGTGAAATTAGTATTTTTTTTCCGTAGAATGAAAAATAACTAAAGTTTTCTATATGTAAACTATACCAAATTTCTTACTTTATCGCCATTAATAATAACTCTGTACGACACCTTGGGAGGTAATTAGCGACTAATCACCATTGTAAACAAGATCTGTTCCCGCCAATAACCGTTGTCGTGAGTCAACCGCTCCGTTGCTTGCATCGCCAACATCAGCAGCGTCTCGTAGTCTTGTGCGTGTGTGTCTGATGTAAACGAAAGGAGACACCGTCACGCGCATCGTCTTCACCCCCAAAATCTCGTCCGAATCTCTCCCGCCGTTCTCAGAAAATCGCCGACGTCTTAATTTTGAGACCACTACGGTTAACTTTCTGAGCATATCAGGTGTCGGTGCATCTCAAGCTAAATCGCATAATTAGACCTGCCGCGCGTAGACCACCACGCGGCCTCGTGGGTGGATGGGTGGGGAGGTGGGCGGTCCACCCTTGTGGAAGGGGCAGGGGCGTGCGTCAGGGCGGCCAGCCCTCCCGCGGTCCTCGAACGTTCAGTCGGGCCGAGGACGCGTTTAGTTTACGTTCGCGCGATCCGCTGAAGCGTCTTTAGATTCACGTCGTTGACTCACGTGCTCTTATTTACAACTGTTTTCAGGCGATGACGCCTCAATAACTGTTTTGGTTCTTAGTGACAATTCGGTGTGTTTTTGAACTTTCAGGTAACGAGGGGATCAGCCGCCGACATGCAGCACGTTACCGGGTCGCCGCAGCACTTTTGCTTGCGATGGAACAACTACCAGACCAACTTGACCAACGTCTTCGATCAACTTTTGCAGAGTGAGTCTTTCGTGGACGTGACTTTAGCCTGCGATGGACATTCGATCAAAGCGCACAAGATGGTCCTGTCCGCGTGCAGTCCATATTTCCAGTCGTTGTTTTTCGAAAACCCTTGCCAGCATCCTATAGTGATTATGAGAGACATTAAGTGGCCAGAACTGAAAGCAGCGGTCGAATTCATGTACAAAGGCGAAATAAATGTGTCTCAAGAACAGATCGGGCCTTTACTCAAGGTAGCAGAAACATTGAAAATTAGGGGTTTGGCCGACGTCAATGGCGAACAAGACATAGCAGCAGCTAACGCCACAGGTGACATTATCGCTAGACCGGCTTCGAAACCGGCACCGCCAACTCCCACATCTGCGGCCACTCCAGAATGGAACCGAGAATCTCGCGCCTCTGAGCATCACGCTCAACAGCAAAATCAGAATCAGCAACAAGATCAGAACGCTCAGCGCGCTAAAAAGCGTCGCAGATCAGGCGAGAGAAGTAGCATCAGTAGCCCCGGCGAAAGCGCCAGCACTGAAATTCCAGAACCTCCGACTTCTGTCGATATGTCACCTGTACCATCGGCCACCCCGCTGACCACACCGGCTTCTGTCGAACCTTTGCCGTTACCGCTTACTTTGACACCGGCACAACCACCAGTTTCGCATTCAGCTGACGATATGGAAATCAAACCTGGAATCGCTGAGATGATTCGTGAGGAGGAAAGGGTAAGTCGATTCAGAATTTTTATTGATTGATATCTTGAATATTGCTCCATTGTTTTCGTACATCTAAAAATATCTTGGATTTTTGCAAGAATTCGTGATAAACAAAAAAAAAACTCTTTGTGAAGTTTTGAAAATAGCAGAATTGTTCTGATTTTCTGCGGCGTCTTCGTATTTTTGCACAAACAAAGTGTCTGTTTAGGTTATCAATATCATAAGACCACATTCTTAGTATAATCTTCGTGTATTGTTATTTGTTGTATGTAACAGACTATTTTTCATTTTTGGCGCCCAATGTGGGGCCTGCTGATATTTCATTTTTCTACAAACTTTCTTCGGTTTCCATTATCATAAGACCACTTATAAACTCAAATGGCAAAAACGTACCAAAAAACCCAAATAAAATTCGCTGACGAAGTTCCCAAAAGAACTCGTCGGAAAATGATAGTGTGTGTGTGTCATCGGGATGCACGAGGTCCGAGGATAAAAGCGTCAGAAAAGTGCGACGCGCGCCATTGGTTTATTTACATTCGGCACACGTGCGAAACATGTGAATCGGGATCCCCGTCCTGGACCCTTCTCGCTACTACGACCTTTTTTTTTTGAAGATTCGAGGCACATCTTTATTAGGTTAGTTGGAGAGAAGCAAGATTGTTAAACTATTCACATTTGAACGATCGAGAAAATGGCACTTCTGATGTGTTTCGTTAACACCACTATTTAATTGATAGCCAGTTTTTTTTAAATGCTGTTCCTGTCGACTTAACAGCACGGCTCAACGCTTATAACGAAAAATAAAAAAAATGAACACAAACTCGAGTGCACAATTCACGTAGTCTGCCAAAAGTTCGTTGTTCGTCGTCGCGCAACTTCATTTAAAAAGCCAGCAGAAGAGAAACTTTTTCATTTCGAATGAGCGAAACCATTTAAACTAAAATACTTTGTCGGCATCCAGCAGCGGGGACTTTATACAATGTTTCGGGACCCCGGTCCCCTAAACGAGCTTTATACGGCTTTCCATAAAAAAAAATAAAAAAAATAAAGAGCCAGCCATTAATATGCGCGACACCCCAGCATAAACTTGGTCGGTGGATGCATTAAAACTCTTTAATACGCGCATAAACTAAATTGTCGTAGCGCTAGACTACGACCTGTATTATAATATGGCGTCGTAACTGGATGTAATTTTGATGCTAATGTCCGGCATTTAAATATTAAATTTTAACTTTTTAGTAACTGAGAAACCTATGCTGATGCCAAGAATAGTTACATTAGTGAAATTATCCTCCAAGACTTTATAATTAATCGACATTATTTTGCATGCATACTTATATCGGTTATAAACATATCTTTCTTGAAGTCTCTCAGTTATTTGTCGATGCACTCACTCTCTTCAACTTTTATGATGATCTTCTTGGTCTTCTCCAACCCCTTTTGTTTTTTTTTTTAGTCTTATTGAAGATCCAGTTACCCTAATAATCTGTTCATTTTTGAAACTCTTTACTTTTTGTAAAATATTGTTGTGAACCAGGAAATTCATCATTTCATCAATAACGATTATGCTCATTATGTTCACTACATTTCCTCTCTTTTACAAATTCCACCATCTGTTTGGTTTCGTAGTCCTCCATCAATCAGGTACTTTATAACTTATTACTTATTTAGGTTTTAAAGATGTGCCGGCTGGAATTATTAATACAACCAATGTCCTGTAAACACCAATATCCATTTGTCGGTACTCGGCAATAGAGGTATATTGCAGGAACCCAAATTATTGTGAATACATATAGGTTCTTGCTGCCAAAGATAGAGTACTTTCCAGACCTAATTTCATTATTCCAGATGGTGAGAATTGAAATGAGAATTAAAAACTTAGTTGGTAAAATCAGTTTCGTTCAGAGTTAAAATAAACTAAACTTTCAAGTAATTTCGAGTTTTACTTTTTACTTCATTAAAATACCGGATACTATGTACAAGGCCTAGAAATAATCCGAGATTACTACATTGGAGCTAGCGGAAAACTTCGGGTTCTTAACATAAGTGGCATCGGTCCACTCCGGTCCCCAACAATATGATATACCTATATAGTGTGAGTCCAAAATAAGTGCGCGTTTTGTTATTGCAGATAGGAGTGATATGCCTCTGGGCTTTTTGACAAATTAAAAATTATTTTTTGATTCCCTGTTTAATTTTAAACAAAAAAGGTACCTATCCGAGTTTTTCTTGTTCGATGCGACGTTTACGAGATAAAAAATAAAAATCAATGTATTTGTTTGGAAAATCTCGAGGAAAATTTCGTTGTTCGATATACTCCACTCTGGTCACATGACACCGGAAACTAAACAACAATGAAGTTAAAAAAAGTTCATGTTATATTATATCGCAAACACTGTCTGAAAATTTAAACAAAATCGCTCAAGACATTTCGAATCTAATAGACAAAAGTCAAAATTTTCCGAAAATTTCGATACTGTATTTTCTTAATGAGACGTTTGCGGACACATATACAAAAAGTCATTGTCCTACTATACTGTATCTATAATGGGCTCTTTCACTAAAATTTAAATACGTAATTTAGGTATAAAATCCCAAAGGAGGGACTATTTTAGGCACATATACCAAAAAAAAATGTTCTACAAGGTTAAATAAGTTTTTTACAGGCATTTTAAACTACCAAAATTTGAATTATTTAAAAACGCGCCGATTTGCTGACGTCGCATAAATATTTTTCATTTCGCTTGTTGTTGGAAAGAGCTGTCCGCCTCTGCTGTATTTATCCTGTAGTAAATGCAGGTAAAGGTTCGAATGCGCTGTTGTCGGTGGTGACTAAATGTAGTGCAACGTAAAATAAATAAATAAAACTAAACATAGAAAATTATATTAAATTGTGTTTAAGCATAATTTCAATAAAAATGTTATAAAATCTTGAATCCATAACTAATTAATTTAACTACCTTTCATGATATTTTGGGAACATTTCAGAATTAAATCTATTACAAATTTTCAATGTTGACAATTAGTGGCAACACGGTCAAATAGCGAGCTGCGACGTCATAGAAATAAATTCTGGGTTTTTATTTGGAGGTATTTCTTTTTTTTCTGTTTTCTCAAGAAGGACTATGAATTTTTCAATAGTAAAAATACAGAAAATTCTGTTTTTAGTTGCTTTATCCAAATATGCCAATTTCAAAAATTAGTGAAAGAGCCCATTACATAATGCACACTTATTTCGGACTCACCCTGTATTCATAAATCATTTTAGAGTAAGGCCCGACTCATACTATACGTACCGACACCGTACTGTCAACGACACATCACTAGACCCTCAGACTACCGTCCAGTCCGTCAAGATTTCTCAAGGAAATTATTTGGCATTACGGTGACGTGTGACCGTACCGGTGCGTATAGTATGAATTGCGCTTAATGTTCAGTCAACACACTCTTAAAATAGAAACTCGTTCACACTAAATTACTTTATGAAAATTTTTCTTGGGGGGAAAAACGCAAAAGAAAAATCGTAGTGCGCGCAATATGGAGAAGTTTTTCTAAATAATAAACGAGCCAGATATCGAATTTTAAGGAAAGGCGAGAAGCAACGATTGTCCGGTTAATAATTTATTTTTTAATAACGTTGAGAATTTGAAATCGTGATGAATTATTTTTAAATGGCGAATGGGAATTGAACTAGGTTTAGTTATATTCTTTTTACTGATTCAATAGAAATGAGAACAATTATTGTTTCAGGAGGGAGATGTGAATACATTTCAATAGGAATTCACTTAGAACAAAATTGTCACTCTAGAGTAGGTAGGAGGTACTTAATAGCTGAACTGAGGAGTTCTAGAACAATAATTCGTTTTGTAATTCTTGTCATGATTAGTCCAAGATACAACAAAATAGTTCATATTGTTAAATTACTGGCATAATCAACGAGAAAAAAAATTCTTGAAATATTCTGACATGGGTTATCTACATGAAAGACCAGAGCAAGAGAGAACAGATCATGAAATAACAGAACATGAAAAACAGATCAATGAAAAAACAGTACCGCCTGCCTCTTGACTGCCGAGGTTCTCATAATTTTTCTTTCGCACTTCTGGGCGACCAGTTGCTGCATTGGATTGTGTGGTCACTAAAACCAAGTTAATTCAGTTATGTCGCCTAAAACACTTGGAAAAGGTAATGGACCATACTTGTATAAATCTATCTTTATCTGGACCATACTTGTATCAATCTACCTTCACCTGACAAGTTTCTTTTATTTTAGTGTTCTATTTTTCCCTTGTTCTGTATTATAAAAAAAATCAGTGTTCTCTCAAGTAGCATTTTTCCGACTTACGACTAGATTTTCACTAATTCTGACGTTGTAATTGGTGGAAATTTAGCTTCACTTCAGTCGAAGTAAATACCTGAAGTCCAGCCGACGTTAAATTAACCTCAGACATTTATTTCAGCTTGATCGGACCAGCGGTTCACCCTCAGCGATTTTTTGAAAATTAATTTTCCCCATCGATGAGGGGGGGGCTAAATTCATCACCAACTCGGGCTGAAAGCCCTCGGGTCGTCATAATTAGGTCACAAAGGGGGTCCGTTCTCGAGATATTGCGTTTTTTATGTTTTTCTCCCCCCTCCGAAATTTTTTCAAGGAATACCCAAGGAACGACTATAAATTCGGCCCCCACCTACCCTACATCTAACAACTAGGGATACCCATCCAACTGAAAACATCGATGTTTCGGTATCGATAAAAAATGTATGATTGGTTTTGCTGTAAAATTAACCGTTCAGGTTTTAGAGTCTGTCAAAAATGCAAAAAAGTCAATTTTGAACTGTCAATATTTCCGAAATAGTTGAAGATATGATATTGTACAGGGTGATTCATTAAGAATGGCACTCGGCCATATCTCGAAAACTATTCATCGTAGTCTTGTCGGAAAAAAATTATCCCATAAATATGGCCAAGAGAAAATGCTGGAAATCTATTTCAGCTTTCTAAAATGACC